AAAACCCAGCATCGGGTTCCATGAGGAATCAAGATGATGAAGAGGAAGAGGATGGTGAAGATGATGAGAATGATTGTGAAGAGAATGGTGAAGAAGATAGACAATGAGATGATGATGCCGAGGATTAGGCTGAGGATGAGGAGAAAGAAGAAAATGATGAAATGAAAGTTAATTAACTTAATTATTTTAAAATTCATTTAATTTATAAATTCATTTTTATTTGACGTGGAAAAAAGAAAACAATTTGTTTTTTTTTTCATGTAGGCCCCACAAAAAGTGGAGAAGCAATCTGACATGTAAAAATGCCACGGTGTCAAAAATACCCTTGTTGGATTTACACGTCAATAAAAATGAAAAAAGCCGGTGATTTTGTGGCATCTTAATGTGCCACCTGTCATTTAACTGACGGAAGGACCATTTTGGTACCGAAAATGAAAGTTCAAGGATAATTTTGGTACTTTTTAAAGTTGAGGGACAATTTTGGTACCAAAGTGATAAGTTGAGGGACTAAAATGGTACTTAAACCAAAAAATTAAAAAACAATGCCACATGAAATTATTTAACTGCCACATCATACTTAACTGACGGAGGGACCAAAACTGTGCAATTTTTAGAGTCAATGGATCAAAAAAAATGCAAAAAATTATTAAGGGATCAAAAAAGTACATTTTGTAAAGTTGAGGGACTAAATTTAGCATTTAACCTAATTTTTTTTATGAGAGGGAAAAAACAATTTAAAAAAACTCTGATTTGGAATTTTTTTTTAAGGCCCATCATCGCCAACTCATCCAACTCATAAACCAATTTTACCTTAATAAAAAAATAAAAAATTACAAATTTACCCATCTCCTTTTCTTAATCCATCTTCTTCCCCTATTTCGATCATCTTCTTCCTTTCTTTTTTTTCTTTTTCTTTCTTCCTCTTCTTCCTCTTCTTCCTCTGTGTCTGCTAGGTTCGGTGAACCCAGTTGCTGGGTTCCGTGAACCCAATTTGGCTCCACTTTTTTGTTTTTTTGTTTTTTTTGTTATATGTTTGTTTGCGAAAAGATTATCCAAGTTGTAGGGTGCAAAATGGAAAGAACAGAAGCAGTTGGGTAAAGAAGCAATTCTTATTGGTTTCCATTTGTTTGGTTGGAAAATGGTATGGTTTGGGTGTTTGGATGCTGAAAAAATGCTTTGAATTTGTTTGGCTGCTGAGATTGGTTATGGAGAAATTATAATGTCCGTTAAAGAAAGAAAATTATAATGCTGGGTTCGGTAAACCCAGTTGCTGGATTCCGTGAACCCAGTTTGGCTCCACTTTTTTGTTTTTTTTGTTATATGTTTGTTTGCGAAGAGATTATCCAAGTTGCAGGGTTCAAAATGGAAAGAACATAAGCAGTTGGGTAAAGAAGCAATTCTTAGTGGTTTCCATTTGTTTGGCTGGAAAATGGTATGGTTTGGGTGTTTGGATGCTGAAAAAATGCTTTG